ACTGTTGCAGGTTTTCTTGCCACTGCTGTAATCGTTCTTCTTGTTTCTTTTCTTTTTCCTCCATCAACTGCTGTAATTTCTCTTGTTTATTTTGATGTTCGAGCTGCCATTGTTGCAGGTTTTCTTGCAACTGCTGTTGTCTCTTTTCTTGTTTATTTTCTCGTTCTTTTTGTTTCTTTTCTTTTTCCTCTAACAACTGTTGTAATTTCTCTTCTCGTTCTTCTTGTTTCTTTTGCTGTTCTTGTATTGCTGCCATCAAGTCTGCTATGCTGTAGTTTGATTTGCCGCTTCTCGTTTCCATTTTTTTATCCCACTCTCTGACACCAATTTGTTACGTCTCCGTTTGTTAATTAACTTTCCGTAACTTCGTTCCGACGAAACTTTAGCGACACAAGTCCTTACTTAGTAAAACTGGTTTATTCTTTCTGAATATAACTTTACGATACACTTGATTTCAACATTCGCGCTAAAACAAACGCTGTAACGAACTTCAACAATACTCTCTGACTGCAGATCAATTACTCACTACCTACACACATACTTGTTCTGTCACGTTGTCACCCTCTTATATATATATACCAGACTACCCTATATCTAGTAATCTCCCGACTATTCTCGAAGGTTCGAGAGAAGTGGCGTGACACTAGTCACGTGACCTCGCTGACGCAACAATACATATACACATACACCTATGCATCCACATACATACATATACATGTAACAACTGTATAACTAAGCAGTTATTAATATGCTACAATTAAAGACCAGAAAGACTGAACTAAAATAATTATTTAAAGCTTCGACTATCTCACTATTATTTTCAAGTATCCTGTCGCCTATTTTTAAAGGTCCTATCCTGTCTTTCATTTTGTTAGTTGCTTTATAATACTTAAAGAATTCTTTTGGATTTTTATTTTTATTCATCGCTAATCTAATTTCTCTTTCCCTTTTCCGTATTATCCTATTTAATTAATCCCTTACAATTTTATAAGCAATTCCACCCTCTTCCATTTTAGTCTGTCTATATATATTTTATGTTGTTTTTTTTTTTTTTACTGTTAATTAACTTGCTTATATTTCTATTCACCATAAGGGCTTACTTTCTTATTCTACGGATATATTTGTACGGAATACACTCTCTCTGAATTTTACCTAACTTACACTTAAATATTTCCCACATTTAAATACAGCTTTTATTTATAAATTCCCTATTCCAGTCTAATGCAGCTAAGAGATTCCTGAATTTGATAACCATATACAAAACGAGTTTGCTTTTTCCTATCGTTAACAATGACGCTACAAATCAGCGTAGTTTTATTACTAACCTTACTGATGAAAAGAGCAACGTCCTCTGCGGCTCTGCTGATACTTGCACAGCTGTGTTTTCAACTTATCTATCTCACTTCTTTCCTGGAAGGACAAAATCAATACAGAAATCAATGCTAGTGTCGAGTTATTGACTTAAGACAATATTATTCTGAAATGGAGTGCAAGGAAAATTACTGAAGGGTTGTTTAGAGACTACAGTGCGTTATGACAGCATGTGTAAGAAAGGCCTATGACAGCGTCAAAAATATTATACACCTTAGCCGGAGGGCCCTAGGCTTCAGCCTGCTAGGCCTATAGGTAAATTCGGCACTGAATTAATAACTCATGAGTGAAAGTAAAGAAGAATTTATAACAATATGACAGGCACGCTGTTTCTGCCATATCCAGTGCTGACCAAATTTACATATGGTGCTTGGTGATCGTTTTTTTAATCTTGCCTCAGACAGTTAATGAAAAATCTATACATTTCATGACTTACGTATTGATTCTATTACTTTGCCATATGTAAACGCAATACATATTTTTTTACATAAATACAGCAAAAGAGTGAATATTGTATATTTTATTTGTTTGTTGGTTATGTTAAGCACAAAGATACAGATTGGACTATTTGTGCTGTGCCTACCACGAGTTTCGAAACCAGGTTTCTAGTGAAACAATCCTTCAGACTTACTCCTGAGCGGATATTACAGTACTGCATTATTCTGATGATGACGGCTGCTAGTCGAAACACGTAAATTGTATTGTTGTTTTTAAAATTTTATAATGATGTAAATATGTGTATTTTTTAACCGACCATACTACCTTTACGATACACTTTAATTTCATGAAAATTAAGTATCTAAAATATAGATAAATGAATATATATACATATAATAATAAATAAATATATTAAATAATATCTTATATCTCTTTGTTTGTTCGCTTGTTGTTAAGCCCAAAGTTACACAATGGGCTATCTGTGATTTGCCAACAGTGGGTATCGAAACCCGATTTTTAGCATTATAAGCTCTCACACTTGCCACTCAGTCACCGGGAGTTTAAATCTGTTGATCATGTATGCTGCCAAATCTACATATGGTGTAGATCACTCATGACTAATTTATTGAATTAAACAAAATAGAAAAAAGACTCACCAAAGGCTAGATGGCAGTACTTCACTGAGGAGTGAAGGAAGTATTGACGTAATAAGTCTTGGAAACTAAATTTGATCTGTTAATTAACATTGTATATAGTTATTTAGAGAATAAATTTGATTTAGCTTCATTTTGTAAGTCTGAGTACTGTGTAATATTCTATGAAACTCTAAAGTGAAATGTCATCTCAGAAATCGGAAAGCGTTAGGCCTAGTGTTAAGGGCAGATCCAGTACTACTAACAGTAACAGAGTTAGTACTAGTACTAAAGGCAGACCTAAACGAACTCGTCATGTTGAACTTGAAGAATCAGATACAAGGGAAACAATTTTAGGTTCTAGTACGGTTCCTTTAGAAGTTGAGATAGTAGAAGGTAAAGTTAATAAGAATCCCGACTTTCCTGTAGAAGTTAAGGCCAAAATCGAGGAAAATAAGAGAGAAACACGACAACGAAATAAACCAGTCTACTATTATTACGAGGAGGAAGATTCGGAAAAATCCGAAAAAAACTTAATTTCAAAGAATAAAAATGGGAAGTCTCGAGATCATATTTGTATTCATTGTGGTAAAAGCTACATGAGCAATTACCATTTGCAGCAACATGAGAAGATACACACAAAAGTACCAATTGAATGTAATATATGTGGGAAGAAATTAGCCACAAAACTGTCCTTGAAATATCACATTTTGCACATTCATAATGACACTGGAGAGCGACCTTTTCACTGCAAGGTATGTGAGAAACAGTTTAAAAGAAAAGGTAGTCTAGTCACCCACCTAAGAATTCATGCTGATGAAAGACCTTTCTCTTGTGAAACATGTGGACAAGCATTTCGTACAAAACTTCATTTGCAACAGCATGAAACTATTCATACTGGTATCAGGCCATATCTTTGTGATATTTGTGCTCAAGGCTTTGTTAAGAAAACAGCATTTGATGACCATCTTCTAGTCCACACTGGTGAGCGACCGCATAAATGTGGATATTGTGACAGTTGTTTCCGCACAAAAGCCCGACTGAAAACTCATGAACGAATACACACAGGAGAAAAGCCATACAAGTGCAAATATTGTGGAAAAGCATTTCGTGTTTCCAATTATCTTAAAGCTCATATTAATAGCCATGAAAATAACCAGGCATACAAATGTAAGGTGTGTGGTCGTGGTTTTTGTTCATTTCCAAATATGCTGAAGCATTCTCAGAGACACTCTGATAAGAGACCATTTGTATGCCATGTTTGTGGAAAGGCTTTTACAGTGAAGTCAGACCTGAAGTTGCACATAAAAAAGCACGATCAGGACCTACAGTCAGAACAGTTTCATTATGGATTTGAAAACAACAACTCTTCTTATAGTGGAGAAGTTAGCTGTAACGTATATGAGCAGAAAATTTAATTCCTATTTTTATCCAGGAATTGCCCAGATTTTTATAACTAAATGTTTGGTTAAAACATGCCCTTACATTAACCAAACTCAGTGTTTGTGTGTGTGAGACAAGTTCAGGCTGTGCTTTTCAGAATTTTATGTTCAAGATGGAAAAAGTCTGTAATGTAGTATATGTGTAACCAAAAATTAGCCACTTATCAAAGTTACTGTAGTCTGAAAGATACAATACTATAATTTCACCAGAAATGTAGAGGTTATACAAAAAATTCTAATTGTTGCTTTTCAGTAGCTAAATATTGAACCATGGTTTTGTGTGATTGCATGTATTTAGGAACACATAACCATGAAGTAGATAGTTGTGAGATTTTATAAGTCTTGATAACTTCCAGATTCAGTTCAGAATCAAAGTTGTGTTTTTGGTTGAATATACTCCATGGAAAAAGAAGTCCAAGTGTCAAAGGTCTTTGTGAGATTTCAAGATCACAGTGTAAGTCTGAAGTTGTTTAAGTGCAGTGCAATTAGTGAACTTCTAAGTCTGAAAATGCTAGCCATCATGAAGGCTTCTCAATCAAACCATGATGAACCAGTTGTTTTCTTATGTAGAAATAATTGTAAGAAAGGGATAGGTAATTGAATTATTTGTGTGTACATGGAAGAATTGTAAGTATTCTTTTAAAAACTGTCAAAAATTTGAAGTCAATTTGATATAATTTTGTGAAAATTAAGTCAATTTTAAATGTGATATATATTTTTTGAAAAAGTAACCATGTTATTATTATGATAGTAACTCACTTTTTGAAGAAAATCTGTGAAGCTGTATTATAGAAGTTTCAGATCACTTGTTAAAAGGGGAGAGCACCAAATCATCATTTTACCCTGTGCTTTTTGAGTTTTTCTTTTTCTATAATATCTTAACATATTTGTCATGAGTAGTTCATACAAAATTGCATGTGAAAATCCAAAAATAGTAAAAAGAGAATTTTTCAACTAAATCTATGTGCTTTAATGTTGATAACTTGTTCGGAGGGACACATGATGACAGTGAAACTATAAATAGCCTTGATGCAAGCTTCTGTTTTAACAACATTTAGCATTTTTTTCAAAGTGTTCTTTTGACACGTGTGTAATGTTCAATTTTGAAAACAGAAAAAATTTTATTTAAAAAACAACAATTATTTTTTTCATACACACTTCAATAAAATGAGATTGTTTCCAGTCTCCAGATTACTAAAATAATAACTTACTGTACAAGGTTAAAAAGTGGTAAAATCCCCGATGTGACTGGAAAACAATCTCATACACTCTACATGTTTTGACGTAATTCTTGCACCATCCTCAGGAGTGTAATGTTTTGGAAACAATAACACCTATTTATACAGTTATCAAAACACCAATTTACATATTGAAGAATTTCACGCCATCTGCTGACAACATTTCCATCAGGTTCATCATCCTTATTCAATAATTTAGATTAACTTTTTTTACGTTTAATTATCTCAATAGATTCACGTATATTCATACCAATTGCAAAGCATTTTGTTATGAAAGTTTCTTAAGAAAGTCATAAGACCTTTAATGTGTTTAGTAACAATCATAAATTAGATGGAAAGAGAAAATTTCAGGGTAAAATATTAAAATTTTAAATAATCTAAATGATGTATCTAAACCAAAGTCTCCAATCATTTGAAATTTATTGTTCATTGGTTCAGTTAAATATATGTGGAACTGCATGATACATCCTCTGACAGCTCTGGAAGATTATTAGTGTAGTGATACAAAACATTTTAATATTTACTGTATTCTTAAATATGTTTATCATTCCTAAATATAATGAAATATTGCATTTGGTCATTATTACTTCCTGTGCTACAACTATTACAAGTTTTATATTGAAACATCTATTGTGTAATTGATACATTATTATTATTATTATATATATATATATATATATATATATATATTAGAACAAACTAGTTAGGAGAGTACTCCCATACTTATTTTTAACAGAAATAAAAAAACTTATACAAATGTAATTAAATTAGTTAAACT